CTAAGGCCATCGACGTCGATAAGTCGACTCAGCTCGACTACGATAGCAAATAACTCGACGACAGTCGAAGTTACGCACATGGCTAAGGCCATCAACGGTATAATGGCTAAGGCCATCGACGCCAATAAGTCGACCCAACTCGACTATGACAGCGAGTAACTCGACGATAGTCGAAGTTGCGCACACGGTTAAGGCCATCAACAATATTAAGGCCGAAAATAAAAGGTACCAAAAGAAAAGAATAACAGCAAAAGTATAACTTCCATTATCATCCAAAAATACATGTACAAAAGGACCCATTTACGTCTCCAAATACAGCAATACAAAATGAATACAAGTCCTAAGAGGCTTTGCCATTCTGTTCACCGCCCCCCGTCGGACCGCCATCTCGTCCGCCGCCATCCTCGGCCTGATAGGCCGTAGAGATCCAAGAGCCGGATTCTAGACGGCTGACGTCTTCGGAGTTATAACCCGCCCGGTCTGGGGAATCAGAACTATACCCACAAGTTTCACGGGCGACACGGGCTATGCGTCGTTGCTCCTGAACCTGCCTCAGTAGCTCGACCCGCAGCTAAGAACTCCTCGAATACGACTAATCTGGCCTCGGCGTACACCCACATATCATGCGCCTCACGATGCGCATCCTCATCAGGCCTTGGTGCAGCAGTCCGCTTAAGGACTTCAATATCAGCCGCCTTGGCATCGAGTTCGGTGGTCAAAGCGGCAACCTTGATCCGCAAATCAGCAGCTTCCGCCGCTACCCCACGGCCAACCTCCAACTCTTCTTCCTTAGACTGGAGAAGAGTCTCCAGCTCAATGTTCCGAGCCAGGGCGGTCATCAGATGCTCGTCGATCTGCTCCAGCTCGGCCACCCTCCATTTCAGTTGGGCCTCAGACTGCTCCAGACCCTCACGGAAAACCCAAAATTCCGGGTCCTGCTTGAGTAGGTCCGCCAGCGCCTGATGCTTGACGTGGCACCGCCGATATTTCTTTACAACCTTGTTAAAGGTGGCTGCCTTCCTTTGCGCTCGCCGCCCCCTCTCTATCTCCAAGATGAGAGTCTAAAGAAGAAGAAAAGGAGGAAAGGCAAGTCAGTATGCATCAAAATTTACTTTACGGTACATGAAGAAAATCATAAAATACCTGCAAGGCCGCGCCGGCAACCCTCCGGGATAGTTCCCCGTCGCTAACCCCTTTTAACATTTCACGCTCAGCGGCCGCACATAGCAGGGTCATATCCGCTGCGGCCTACTCGCTGTGTTGCAACAGGTTATACCCTCCTAGGATCAGAATTCGGCGGTTGGATCTACCTGTCGTCATCCCCATACGGGCCGAACCCCGCGTTAACACATCTGCATCCGCCTGGGCGGCCTCAGGGCCCACCCTCTCGGTATCATCGCCCGCTTCTCCAATGGTAGCCGACGAGCCGCTCTCCGGAATGCGTGTTGGGTTGGCGTCGAGAACCGCCCCCCCCCCCCGGGGAGCCGACCTCCCGGAACGGATGGCATCTGCCATAAAAACTGGCCTTGACTCCCGACGGGGCTCGCTCGCCCCCTCGTCTTCTGCGGCTATCCCCTTGCCGGTTATCAACCGACGTCTTTCCCTTTTTGGCGGCTCCTCGCTCTCAGAAGTCTCCTCCACAGCCCGTGGGGATGGCATTGAAGGAATCGCTCCCCTCGTGGACGCCGCCACGGGCAGCGGTTGAGGAACCTCCGCAGCGCCATCACTGGGCGAACCACAGGGTATGTATCCGTCTTCAGAATCAGTCCCCGCCCCAGGTAAGGTGACGATGTTCTTTTTTCTTCTTCTTAGGGGCGCTCCGACCTGCCAACGCGAATAAGTCAGGTAACAAGAACGTAGGGAACTCCCAAACCATAGCCAAAGAATTACTTGACGGGCCGTACTGTTGAAGAAATGCAGCCCAGGTACGGCATTCCTCCGCATAAGGTATTATTCTTTCCACCCATGATTTAATGTCATCAATGAACTGGGGTGGAGAAGCCCTCGCTGCGAATAAAAAAAAAGGGGGAGAAAAGCAAAGAAATCACAATGGTCGTATGGTCAAAAGCGCAAGCAGTCCTGAATTCTACGAGCAGAAATACTTACGTTCTGGATTCCATCTTTCCGGGAACCCTTCGGGATTCGACACCAGGTGCTCCATCCTGATGTAGAAATATTTACGCCAAAAGCAGCGGTTGGGCTTATCATCGGCTTTAACAACCAAGCCCCTTGTGCCACGACCTTTTAACTGCAGCATGGTACCCCTCAGGTAACCAGGGCTGAATAACTGTAAGAGGCGGTGGACCGAGACGCTGCACTCAGCCCTGGCCGCATAAGTGGTCATAATACGGCATACCTTCAAGGTGTAAGGAGTGAGCTGGGCCGGACACACACTATAAAAACGGCAAAGCTCCTCCATCAGAGGGTAGATTGGAAGATTGTAACCGATCAAGAATGGGTACTCGTAGAATGTGCAATATCCAGGCCGGTGCACATTGGCATATCCGTTCCGGCCAGAACCATTTCCACGTGGTCTGGAATATGGTGCGTCTCTCGCAGATCATCTTAATAGGATTGTAATAAAACGATGTGCTCCCAAGGAAGGTCTGGGCTTTTAGTTGGAAAATCCCTGCGGACATGCATCTCCTTCGGAAGGACGTTGTCTACGCTGAGAGGAACAAGGGCCTTCTCCGCCTTTTTCCCTTCACCGCCGGAAGACGACAGAACCCTAGACGTGGCAATATCTTTGGCCCTTTTACTACTCTGTCCACGTTTTGTCATAATTATACTGCGTAAGAAACGAAGCACTGACGATAGGAAGTGTGGTTTCAACAGAAGTGGGAGAGTCCCTCACGAAATAACGGTTACAGGAAAGAAAGGCAAAGGAGTATATCAGAAAATGCTTTCCGAAGGCTTGAAAGTGGAATCAAATCGAACCTCTCTCCTACTTATAGGGATAAGTTGCGCAGGAATCGAAAAGTCATGATTCAAAACGTGCACGGGAAACCAAAATGTCACATTATCCTCTTAACCGCCTCGGGGGCAAATATAATAATGACGCATACAGGCGATGATGTCATTCCAAAAAGGAAGCCACGCGTTAGTGGCTCTATAACGTCATATATTTCACCTCATTCATATTGCCGCCCCTGGTCGAGGTCAAATTCTCCTAAGCCGAGGTTCGCATTTCCGCCCATCGAAGACGCCCACCGAGTGCGTCTCCAACGAGCGGAGGGACTAACTGTATGGGGTCAAATTTGATCGTCAGCATCCCTACGCCAGAGGGTATGCCCAGTGAGTGTACGCCGACTAACGTAGCGGGTACGACTCGGACGCGGGGACAAAAGCGATATCGTTTAGGACTCAGTGTCTTCACTAGGGAGACGTTACCTGCTTTTGTAACTTTTTTATTCTTTCGAGGAAGGTCTCTTATTATATAAAGGAGACCTTCACATTGTAAAAGGGGATTCTGATCTAATACAACTCTCTCATTTTCTCTCTTTCTCTCTCTATCTCTACCTCAAACGAACATATCTTGATAAGTTCATATTATCACTTTGCAATACTAGATCTACAACAATAATATCATCTTTGCATCTCTAGGTTTATTATATTTGATTACGATTTACCCTTTTCTTACTTTTGATTGTTTTCTAGCTTACAAAGTATATTGCTAACTTTTGTGCCGTTTATTACAAATGAATTAAGAACGGCCATGTCATCGCGGAATCAAACAAGTACCTACCTAATCATAATTAGAATCCATAATTTTTATTTAAATTTTCATGTTTTAAAGTGTTTAGCATTTTTTTAGTCTGCCAGCAGCCAAGTATTCTAACATTTCTTTTGTAAAGAGCAAGTCAGATGGTCTTTTAGGTGCGTGTGGCTTGGTCTGGTCTCTTCTTTTTATTTTTGTTTTTATTGTGTTTTATTATTATGTTGGGATGGCTCATTGCTATTTTTTCATCTGTCAAATTTCTACTTTTAATTATTAAATATGAGCCAAAAAACAAGCCTCGTGTATTTCTATGCAGAAAAAAATATGTCATGTAAAGCTGCCTACCTTAAAGATTTTCTTGGAAGATAGTCAAGACGTCGCCTATTTAATTCTCCATCATCCAATTTACAGAATCTTAGTAGCTTTTCTTCTCTTGTTTTTTCAAAAGAAAAAAAAAGAAATAAATAAATAAACTATAGGTTCATCTTAACGCAGCTTTCTAATAAGGTATGCTACTAAAAGAAATATGTGATACAGGATATCATATAAAACTGTTCTGTTCATAATATGTGGAGCTAATTACCTAAAAAAATAAGACAGAACAACCTGTTATATAAGTTTTCATGAATAGCGTAAAAATTTCTTACACTGCCTAATATAAATAAGTTAAATTCCAAAAAATAGGCAATAACTTAGAGGTGTCAAATGGACGGTTGGACTTATTTTGGACAAGTTAAAATGGCTTGAGTCAATAAATGAGCGAGTCAACGAAAGTCATTTGGGATGAGATGGATTCATAGTCCAACCCGTCCAACTCTGATCAAGCATTAATTAATATATGTTGTTTTCTTATGAATTCTTCAGTTATCAAATAAGATTTTTTTATTATGGTCATATATAACATAATAATCAAAAATGAATTATCTTTAAGATATTTTAGAAAAGTTGCCCAACTTTAAATAGGTTGAGATGGACTGAGTTCAACAAATGAACGGCATATTGGACTGAATTACCGTCCCGGTAATCAGATCAAAATATTGGAAAATTGTGATGATGAGCTACTTTTCTTTTGTATTTTGGTAGGGAAAATGTTGTATGCAATATTTGATAAAGTGGTGTACATATTACAATCACCTAAATAAAGTTAATTACGCGTATTTGACACCCAAAGAAAAACATCAGAGTCTTAAACATAAGGATATTTAAGTAAACTCCATAAGAAAAGCAATAGACCAGCTTGACAAACAAAGAATTTTAAAAAGCAATTAAAGTTTACACCTTTTTATTTAGTGCTACTTTGCTTTGCTTTGTGCAAAATCCATAAAGATTCAAAAACCTTAGTAGCTTCAACCATATAGAAGAAGAAAAAAAATGCAATGTTCAGAAGAAACAATTGCTAGTTTGTTCTACAATTTCTCTAGCTCTTTTCTTCTTTTCTTACTCTTCTCCTACTTTACTTCCATTTTACTTGCTAAATTCTTCTATTTCCTTGGTGGAAATCCATTTTTTTGGAGGTATTTCTCATTTTTCCTTTCCTCCTCATGTTTTAATTAGTCAGTTCGGTACACAAAGCATCATGTGTTCACGTAGGATTCGGAGAAGACAGCCTACCCTGATGCAAACATCAGTGGCTGATTCCACGGCTCGAAAAGAGTTTTGGTTTACATTTTGACTAAAAAAAATTGCGTTTTTATTTTTGTAGGAATCAAGATGGATATGAATTTGCTGAATTTTCTGATGATGAAGAAATGGAGGAAGAAAATGAATATTACCATAATAATGCTCATCAATCAGTGGAGGAAAATCATTTTGTAGCAGACATAAGTTGTGGATCTCAAGAAAATGATCAATTTCTTGATTTTGAGAAAGAAACAGAGGAAACTTGTAGTATTACTGAAGAAGAGTCTATTTATAGCTCAGTGGATTCAGAATCTATTCATACTGATGATGAAGTGGAAGTTAAAGAAAAGATTCCAAGAAGAGATGATGATTCTGATTCTTGTTGTTATTCTGAAATCACCCAAGTTGGCCCCACCTCATCTCTTCCCAAGGACTTGAATACAAATAATGGACTAGACTCGATCGATAACAACATCAATAATCATGGTACTGAATCTTATAAACCTTAATAAACTTGTTATCTACCCGACATTGTTTGTGTTTTGATTTTTCTACTATCTTATTGTTGTTATTGTTTTTTTGACTTTTACACTACTGTTGTGATTTTGCATACTTGCTTTGAGTCGAGGGTCTATCAGAAATAGTGGCCGACACAAAATTTGAAGGTCGCGGATGCATTTTTGGATTCAGCCAAAACTATTTTGTATATAGGTGCCCACTACTATTTTCTAAAGATATATACATGGAATTTTTGTTGATTTTACAGGTGCTAGTGACCCCTCTATGTATAGAATAGGTCCGCTTTTGATCGGAAATAATATTTCTACTACAAGGTAGAAAGGCTACATATTTACTACCCTCCTCATGAGACCCCGTTTATGAGATTACATTAGGGTTTATTGTTGTTGTTTTAGTTAATAAGACTTGTTATGTTAGTAATGATGAATATTTCAAGCTTCTTGGCTAATTAAGGCATATTATTTTCTTGATTATGTTGATGTTACAGGAAACTGTTACAAGGATATCAATAAAGACAAGAAAGTGATGGAAAATAATTTGTGTCAAGAGGAAAATATATTTGTTAATGCACCAATAATATCAAAGGTAGAGAGCAAGAAACTGTTGCAATTACAAGAAAAGGAAGAAGAACATGAAATATTTGGAGATTCTTGTACTGTTGGTTCTACTTCAAAGAGCTCCACTGAATGGAGAAGCTCCATTAAAGACTCAACAACTGAAGATCCATTTTCTTCTTCTTCAAGGAGAAGTTGCCCTAAATGGGAGTCTTATACAATCTTCCAAAAATATGATGAGGAAATGTTGTTTTTTGATAGAATGAGTGCCCAAAAGCTACATGAAACAGGTATTTTTCTGGCTTTCATCACTTTCTGAATTAATTTCTCGTATGGTCACTGAACTTAACCTAATTATGAAACTACTTTTTGTCGCGTGAAAATAACTAATTTATAGTGTAAATTCGTTAAAAAAATACAAATGACAGGAAAATATCAAAATTTTGCCGCCGAATTATGACATGTCACTCACCATGGAAAGACAAATTAAAGGGTTGGATTTGATAATTTTATAGAGATGAACGACTTCTATACAGCAATCGTTCTTCTTTTTGGTATCATTTAAATGATCTTTTTCAATTGCGTTACGTTTAAAATATGTAGGCAATTTGTACTGAAATTTTTTCCATCTTTTAATTTATCAATGTGGAATTTAAAAAATGACAAAGTGCTGATGTGGCGCATGACATGTCATAATCCCGGACTAACCAATTAACCTTCTAGTTATTTAATTTTGTAGTTTAATTTTGAACAATTCACACATAGTATAGTTACTTTAATAAAAAAAATAATTTTGTGACTTTATCGTTATAGTGAATAATGTTCAGAAATTATATATGAAATTAACTCTCATTTTCTTTTATTTACCATAGTTTCTTTTTTCTTTTTTTGACTAATATTGAAGTAACCAACTCATTTTCAGAATCTTTAAGATCAATTCAAGCATGTCCAAGATCAATATCAGATAGGATTGTTCACAAGTTGTCAACAAGGAACAAGAAATCCTCAGATTATCGACACCATAATAATCCATTTCAAGAACTGGAGGCAGCTTATGTAGCTCAGGTATGCTTAGCATGGGAAGCTCTGAGTTGGAACTACAAATATTTCCAACGTATAAGAGCTTCACGTAATAAGGAATCATCAGACCCAGGTTGTCCTGCTTATGTTGCTCAGCAATTTCAACAATTTCAAGTTCTTTTACAAAGATATGTTGAGAATGAACCCTATGAACATGGGAGGAGACCAGAGATTTATGCTAAGATGAGAGGCTTTGCTCCTAAGTTGCTTCAAGTCCCAGAATATCGAGGTAATTAATTAATATGTTTTATATGTTCTTGAGTTTTAATTAATTACTCCCTCCGTCACATATTATCAGTCGTGGTTACTAAAAATAATTGTCTCAAATTATTTGTCACTTTAGAAATTCTTACCCTTAGTACTCCCTCCGGTCCAAAATAAGTGATTTTTTTGCCGTTTTCACACAGATTAAGAAATCCACCTTTTAACATTAATTAGCAATGAAATTGACCATATTAACCTTTACTATCTCTTCACATAAACACTCCTAACACATACTCCAACACTGTTTACTCCAAGGGCAATGTAGGAAAACATAATTAATTCATTCTTGAAATCTGAAAAAATTATCACTTATTTTGGACCACAAAGAAAAGGCCAAAAAATCACTTATTTTGGATCGGAGGGGGTAATAATTATCCTTGATGAGTACAAAAACCTCAATTTTGAATAACTTTGTTCAAATACCAATGAAGAAAGATTAAATATTAAGACATGAGTAAGGGTAAAATATTCAAAATTCCATTCTAATTAATTCTTTTAAGGAGTATGTATAAGAAAATCATGACAGATAATTAATATGAGATGGAGGGAGTATACGAAATTCCATCTCGAATATTATGGTCAACCTGACTGCGAGTTTGAGTCACCAATGAAGTATATATATATACGGCTACCTGCTCTTTTTTCAGGTTTCCCATTTATCATGAGTAGTTACCTATTGTTACTAATCTGATACTGTAAAAGGATTTTACATTCTAATCGGTATCTAGAATTTAAACTCGTTTATAATTATAGAATGAAATGGAACCACATATTAACTTTTCACTTTTACTGTAAAAGAATTTTACATTGTGTAGTGTAGGAATTTTGAAAAGGACGTGTGACCTTTGGATATTTTGATGACTAGGAAAGTCCCCACACAAGGATGTACCATGGTATTTTGACCAAATTTACCTTTTGTTAAAGATTGATGACCTGGTGCTTTATTAAAATTAGCATTCATGAGAATATAAGTTTAGGCTATAATTATTTGGTTTCTAAAGTTGAATTAGAGAAATAATCTATTGGTTATTCCTATATATGAGATGGAATATACACTGTGAATCCTTAATTAGATATTTCTTAATAGATCCTGTCAACAATCTCGAGATATAATCATATTCCTTACTTTATTTAATATTTTGATTAGATTCGGAGGAGGATAAAGGTGAAGAAGATTATTGTTCAAGAATATCTTCAGATTCATTTCTCCAGATAATGAAAGAAGCAATCAGAACATTTATGAATTTTCTCAAGGCAGACAAGGAGAATCGTTGCCAAATATTAATGGCAGCTTTCTTTAAAAGAAAAAGAAGAGGTTCAGCTGATGCAACTCTCCTCCTCTTATTAAAGAAAATCAACAAAAAGGCAAGTATGAAACACTATTTTTTGCCATAATTTTTCTTTTCTCACATAGCTATCTTTTAATTTCACAACTATGTATACTCAAGTTTAAATTAAGAAATTCTTTCAATATAAATAACTTTTTACACTATATATGAGGTTAGCCAAAAGATACTAAAATAAATTAGTGAGCTTTATAATCTTGAACATAAGATATCATACTTGCTACAACAGGTAAAGATAACCTGATATAAAATTATATTACATCGACAATATATATAATATTGAAATTTATTTATACATTATAAATACTGTCATATCTGATAATGTAAAAAAAAAATTACACTGCTAGTTTAGTTTTATAGGTTTCAACAATCATTTACCATGTTTTGCAGGTTAAATAATGCATACTTGTTATCATGTTACCAAAAGTTGACTTTTAAGACTTTGCATGTAAAATCTTTTTACACTATCAATATATAAAAGTTAAACCCAGCATATATAATAAGTATTAATTGTTGAAAAATTTATTGCGCAGAAAAAATCAAAGGTGAAAGATCTACAACGATCAGGGAAATGCATGAGGAATAAAAGAAGGCTAAGAGAAGAGGAAGAGATGGAGATATTAATGTCTTTAATAGACCTAAAATTAGTGTCAAGGGTATTGAGAATGAGTGAAGTGAATGAGGAACAGTTGCATTGGTGCGAAGACAAGATAAGCAAAGTAAGAATTTCTGATAGGAAATTACAAAGAGATTCTTCACCACTTTTCTTTCCAGCACACTGATAATTAAGTACCCCACCAGCCACTAAGTTCATTTTACTTTAATGACTAGATCATGAATGTGCATGCAATTCATGAATATGAATATCCTCAATATTCCTTTGCCTACACATAGCTTTCTGTAAATACTACCACAAAAGGACAAAAAAAGAAAGAAGGGTGGCCCAGGAATAAAAGTAGTCTATGTCACGGTTTCGAGCCGGGCCAAAATTACCTTATTACGTACAATAAAACCTTGTTATCTGATCCTTCCTTAATTTCCGCTCATAAATAAATATCCTCAATATTCTTTCGCCTAGACATAGCTTCCTGTAAATACTACCACAAAAGGACAAAAAAAAAGGGTGGCCCAGAAATAAAAGCAATATGGGTCACATATCCGAGCAGTGAAAATAACTTCATGCAAAAATGTAGGATAAGACTGCGTACAATAGTCTCTTGTAATCTGGCTCTTCCCGAATCTTATACATAACGGAAGTTAAGTGCACCGGGCTACCACATGGGAGCTTTGGAAAACTATGAAAGAGGGAGTTAAAGGGATAGATGACTGATTGTTTTGGTGAAATATTTTGACAGTACTGAATAAGGAAAAAGAGAGAAAAGCAAAGGGCAAAAAGGAAAGTGGATGAAGATAGAGATAAGGGTACGTAGCTTTAATTTACTACTACTACTACTACTTTTTAGAGCTTTTAAATAAGGGTTTATCTGAGTTGATTCAAAAGGCAAATTAAAGCAGCGGACCATGCAATGGAATTAAAAAGAAGGTGGAGCGTATGAAAGGGATAAGATCTTGATTTGATTTTGGTCCCACTATTTTGTTTTAGAAATTAATTAAAGGGTAGACAACTAAACAAATAAACAATAAGAGATTTATATTTATAGAGCAATTAGTATATGTTTTGATTTTGTATTCAAGTATTTTGTAGTTTAATTAGCTATGAGTCTATGATCAGGAAAAAATGTACACTTTCAAATACTTGGACACATAATTGATGGAATAATATTTAGTCAACAGATATACGTGTTAATATTCTACTTTTTCTTTTCCATTGCCATGCAATATTATTGTAGACTTTCTTTTTTAAGAACTTTCTTCTTTTAATTTTATTTTTTTGTTTCCTCCAGAGTGGTTGTATTTTAATTTGGGGTCATATGGGTGAGTTGACCAAATTAAATTGAACAAATTACAATATGTCGAGTTGATAAACTATGTCATCATTTAATTCATCTAAAGTTTATTAGCTATAGAATTGAGTTGCTAAAAGGATAACCCATATCTAAGGAACAAATCATTAGCTAAGAAGCCACAATTCAAACCACAATTAATACACGAGTTCGATCGAATTTCAATAGTTCAACAAGTTTGTATTTTCTAGTTAGACATTCCTTACTTCCTATAAACCATTTGAAAAAAATAAAACAGAAAGTATTATATCCTTTTTGGAAACCAATTACACTTTTTTGTATACTTTTTGACTAAATGATTTGGACTAATAATGTAACTTAAATTTACCCATGCTTTTGATTGGTTCATTTGGTTTACATTTAGGGTATGTGAGAAAAACCACCAGGAAATTGGTATTGGTATAATTATTAGGGTAGTAATTACACAGTTGTATAATTACGACGATCTGTTTGTTTGTCATATTGTAATTATAAGTTTACTATTTGGTTGCACAAGTGTAATTACATAGTTAGATTAAATTTAAATTAAGTAATTATCAAAGCAACTTTATAATTACATAGTGTAATTACCACCGATTCTTATCCCCTTTGAGAATTGGAGATAAGAGTGTACTGTGGGCCGGGCCCAGCCGGAAACCGGCCCGAGACCGCAGGCCAAACGGGCCAAACGGGCCGGTCTCAAATGGTGCATTAAGCCCGTAGCGGGCCGGTCCTACCCAAATAGCCCACGAGCCCGGGACCGCTAAGCTTGGGACCGGCAGGCGGGCCTGGGCCGATTCAACCGGGCCTAACGGGCCTCAACGGCTATTTTTTTAAAATTTTTTTTTTTAAAAAATGACCAACGGTCAGATTTTTAAAATCTAGCCGTTGGCCATCAAATTCTAACCGTTTGGGAGTTTAAAAAATAGCCATTTGGCCCCCAAACTTTATTTTAACCCCAAACTTTATATAATTACACTTTTTCCCAATTCTCAACTATAAATACCCCCTCATTCTTTTATTTTTACTCACAAATTCATCAATCTCTGTCAATCTCTCTCAATCTATATCTAATTTTCTTCTATAATTGCTTGCTTTATTATTGCAATTTCGTGAAAAATTGTGAAGTTGGTGAATTGAAGTATTCAAGTCTTCAACGATTTTCAATTTTCAAGAAGTTGTTCGTCAATTCGGTAAACTCGTTCCAACTCTTAAGTTTTAAGAATATAGTTTTGTTTGTTTTAGTTTGTATAATTATAATTAATATGGCCTTTTCTTTGAAAAAAATATTTGTTGGTAAGGAAAAATCTAAAATTGGTGAATCTAGTCGCCAAGCTATTACCCTTCCCCCGGCTCCCCGACCCAGACCTGTTACCCGTCCTCCTCCACCTATTATTCTTGATAGTGATAACCCTTGTTTTCAATTTTCCGATAGTGAATTTTGCCATGATGTTGCACCAGGTCAACAATTAAATGAAGAAGTTATGAATGCTCTTTATCCTAATGAAACTATCTTTGAAAATGATGAGAAAAATGATGATGTAGATGAAACCCAACCGGATTTAGATGATACACCTACTAGTCCTGCTAATAACCCAACTGATGCCCCGCCCGACCCACCTGTAGAAACCCTTACTTTTAATAGACAACCTTCTAAACGCCCCGAAACATCACTTGTTTGGAACTTTTTTACTCAATTAAGAGAACAAAATAAGGCTAAGTGTAAAACTTGTGGGGGTTTGCTGGCGCATAAATTTACTGGAGACCGTAGCGGTACGGGTAGTTTGACTCACATAAAGACACACCCTAGAGATAAAGTTAGATTTTTACAAATGAAAGTGCAGCTAGAGGGGACAAGTGTAGATACTACGGTTAATCCTAGTACAGGTTCAAATCTAGTTTAACCTGGAATTAACACTGTGACCGGTGGCATTTTATATTACGATCCAAATAAAGATCGTGAAGAATTAGCAAAAATGGTTACTGTTATGTGCTTACCCTATAGTTTTCCTTCTAACCCTCACTTTGTGCATTATATTAGAAGAGTTTTTAATCCTACTTATAAAGGTTGGCCTCGCGCAACCGTAAAGAGCGATATTTATAAATATAAACATGAATATGAACAATATTTGCGGTATTTATTTACTCATATAGATTGTCGGATTGCTATTACCACTAATATTGGTAGAAGTGGTAACGACTGTGATTATCTTACTGTAACTACTCATTGGATTGATGAAGAATGGAAAATGCAAAAACGCATTATTGCTTATAGAATAGTTAATTCACGTCACACAGGTAAGTTTATTGCTAACACAGTTGCAGATATTTGTAGATATTTTTGCATTAGAGATAAAATAATGTCAATTTCTATGGATAATGCTTCTAGTAACACTAATGTTATAGGCTTACTTATAACTACACTAAATCCTGCATTTAGTAATTGTTTCCATGTTAGATGTATTTGTCATATTTACCATTTAATCGTCGGTGATGGTATGAGAATTTTAAATTTAGAAATTGAAAAGGTTAAAATGGCTCTTAATTGGCTTTTTTATTCAAACCGTAGAAGTAGACTTAGAGAGTATTTTAAAAAATGTGATGAATTTGGCCTTAGAGAAAGAAAGGTTCCTAAAGCTTGTCCGACTAGATGGAATTATATGTACGAAAGTTTAGTTGTTACAAGAAATTGCCTTAGATAAAAAAAAATTAAAAAAAAATAGCCCGGAACGAAAAAGCCCGTTAGGCCCGTGGGTCCGACCCATTTAGCCCGGGACCATGTGGGCTTAGGACCGCCGTGGGCCAATTCCACCCATTGGGACCGTGAAGCCCGGGACCGTTTGGCCCGGGACCGCCAAAGCCCGGCCCGCCTAAGCCCAGGCCTGTTTGGCACGGCCCGTTTAGGCCCGTTTGGCCCGGGCCCGGACCACAATACAGCCTTAATTGGAGAGTGTAATTACACCCCTCCAATTACAGCTAATTCCATGCTGACTAAATAATTACTTGGTCAAACAAATATGTTAAACTGTATAATTACACCCAATTACACCCAAATTCATTTCCAAGGTGGCTTTCCAAACAGGCTCTTATTTTAGTCCTTGAATGAATCACTTTCTCAGCCTCTTAAAATTTGGATGAATTGAACGAGTTGCACATTTAAAGATCAAATTTAACACACAAAGTATATGGACCTTCTCTAGTCCTACTAAGTGGCATTTGTTTCAGGAAAAAAAGGGGAGAAATTCAAAAATAGCCAGATTTACCACTGGTCGTTGAAAAATAGCCAAATTTCAAAAGTCATCGAAATTTAGCCACTTTAAATCTGAGCGAAAACACTGTTCAAAATCCGGAAAAATACGCCCGCAAATTTTACGGGAGTTCCAGCATAAGTATGCTTGAACTCCCGTAAATTTTACGGGAGTTCCAGGATAACTATGCTGGAACTCCCGCAAATTTTACGGGAGTTCCAGCAAGTATAATTGTCCAGTATAATATACTGGAGTTTGGAGCACTGGTGCTCCAGTCTCCCGCAAATTTTACAGGAGTTAGCAAAGTATACCGGTCCAGCATAATATGCTGGAGTTCGTACACAAATGCACCAGAACTCCCGTATATTATACTGGACCGGTCCCTGTTGCAGCAAAATAGTGGCTATTTTTTATTGACTTGATAAACGCTGGCTATTTTTCATTGACCAGTGTGAAAACTGGCTATACCATGATATTTTAACGAAAAAAAGACACAAAGAGCTTGCGGTCGAAATTATTAATATTCGGAACTGTAAAAGTATATAAAATTTGTATATTTTTTATGAACCATACAGAAATGTATATATACAAAAAAAATAATTTTCGACTATAAGTTTAAGAGCGGCTTTACAGTATCATTTTTTCGGGAAAAAACCCAGGTAAATTTTCAGTTGTACAAAAAGTTGAAGAACACTTTTAGATCATTTTTTTAATTTTGCAAGAATATTGATAAACTTTCTCTAATGGTAATTGGTTTTAAGGGTTGATTTGAACAGCCCTATTCCCCTGAAAGGACCGATTCTGTGGTCTCTTTTCTTGGCTGTTTCGATTACAAAGCCAATCCTATGTATTGGGTTTCTCTACCGTTTTGGGTTCTTGTGACGGCCCAGTAACCCATAAGCAAAATTAAATTTGGGCCAGCCTGGTCTGAAAACGCATTTTTCGGGGTCATTAAAAATTGTGTGGGGTAGCCATTTTTTAAAGTGGTATTTACTTTTTATCCAGTATTTTTAATGCTTAGCAATAGTAGCCTCTAGTCTATTAAAATTAATATGAAAAGACTGTTTACCCTTTCTTCTATCACTTTCATGTGTTATGGAGAAGAACTTGCCGCCGATAACGGTTTCCGATGAGCAAACTCCTCCGTTCTCTACTTTTCCGTTTTCCATTCCGTTTGTTACTCTACTCTATAATTGTTTAATTCGGGAATTGATAATCGCAATAGTACTAGTAGTAAAATGATCAGAATTCGAAATGAGAAATACTGCAACTAGTTGCCGTTGAGTCTGGTCTTTTCTTCTTGTTTTCACCATTTATTTGCAGAAGCTGGTTTTATCCAATTCCCTATAATTTTTACCCATTGTCAGCAGGGAATTAGTTAATTCTGCAGGTTGATAAATCAAGAGGACAACAACTTTGTCTCCAATATGAATTGAGATGGTTTCTTGAGATAGAGATGACTTATCACTTTGCAGTGTATCACAAAAATTGAAAAGTTTCAATCAGAAATACCGACAAGAAAATATCCTGTCAATTCTCCATTTTTGTTTTCATGCAACTCTGAAAGTTCCGTTGATATTTCTATCGTATATACTCCATAAC